TTTATACTTCACTCTTTATGCCCTTGGAATAGAAATCGAATACTCATTAATCGCCCCCATACATTTCCTTTAAAACTAATCCAGATTTGGAAACAAAATATTAAAAAAACCTATCTGGAGGGAGCTGGGCAGAAATACTAAAGCCAACTTTGTGGTACCACGCCCAACCCCCCCCCCCCCCGGCCTCAAATACAGTGCAGTCGCCATTAAAATTCATATTTATAACAATAAATCCTCAGTTTCGTTCAATTATTTGAACTCTCACAACCAAGGGCAGTGGGAAAAACGTAGAGGAGTTCCAGGTTTCTTGCATTAAATCCTGTGATGGAACCATGGAAATGAAATCTTTTTGTTTCACAGTATTTAAAATTGCACTATTTGTTTTCTAGAATTTTAAAAAAAAAATACAGTTTGAATTTTTCTTAGACTTTGGCCTCCTCTACTAAAAAGTGAGAGAGACGAAATATTAACAATACTTTTACGAGCGGAAAAGGGGTCCAACCATTCATTTCTTACAATTTTTAATGCAATTACTTGTAGTGGAGGTCTTTGTTGTTCATGCTTCATAGCGCGACACATTTTGATGACAATCGACATACGACGAGCAGGCAAAAAGTACACCCTTCACCTGACGACAATACTGCAGTTGATGAACAATCTTATCAGATATACGATTTCAAAGTCGAAAACGATTGCAAACCCGGGATTGAGCATCAATGTTGACTAAACTTTCGCTTACGTTATGTAACTCACATTTTTGGATTCGTTAAGAAACTTAATATTATTTTAAGCAAGGGAAATTTGCCAGTGGCCAACCTAACACAGAGGTCTATATCATTCAATAGAATAAAGACTTAATTTTCACCAAGTATAAAAGTTTCTAAGACCTTTAAGAGTATATATTATCTGGCACGGCCATATTCGAACTAGCTAAAATACTCCGGGTATTATTTAGGCGAGCATTTTAAAAATATTAAACATTAGACATATCTTACCATTTACTACACCATTCATAATCGGAGCTGTGACAGCATTAGACATGGCTATTTACAAAGAAATTCTCTCCAAAGCAGACAGATGCTACGTGGTTTTACGGCACGGGTCAATCTCGTACCTCGAGTCTTCGTCCCTTACTGCGCATGCTGGCTTGACGAGACGAGCGCTGGTCAAGGGGAACGAAGACGCTGGGTACGAGGGTGCGGCACGGGTGTGAGTGACTGGCTGATCGCCGAAACATTTCGTAATACCCTTCAAATATCGCGGGCTCTATCAATACTATTAACTGAGGGAGGGGTAGGAGTTTAAAACGCTATCTTGACAATGATGCCCATTTCTGTATCCAGAACAACAATTACTACTTATCTCTAAATTACTTTAAAATATAATAATATGACAATAGACTAAATCACTCCATCGACGCTTGTTTGCAATAATCTTTCATAACAGTGTATTCCTAACTTACCCTCCCTTCCCTTAGATGTGACGATGATGCAATCAGATGCAACAGGTCCGCCACGCGGGATCTGTTCGATTTGCAAAATCAAAATGGCTGAGAGTCGTACAGAATTACGGATCGGTGTACTGGCCATTCAGGGCGCCTTCTTTGAGCACAGGGCTGCCCTACTCAAAGCCTTAAACAACTCTCCATTTCATAAAGATGTTGATTTAGAAGTTAATGATATCAGGGAGCCAGAACAACTATCCGGTTTACATGGATTAATTTTGCCCGGAGGGGAGAGCACGACTATGAGTCTATTCCTTCAATCGAACAATTTCCACGATGTTTTGAGGGAATGGGTAGCGGCTAAAGAGACACCTAGAGTTGTCTGGGGAACGTGTGCTGGCCTTATCCTTCTGTCCAATGCCATAGAAGCTCAAAAGGAAGGCGGTCAGTCGAAGGTATGGATTAAGATTTTTCTTAGAGGTCCGGGGGGAGGGAAGCAGGGGTAAGTTAGGGGTGGCATCGTGGGTGTGGCTGTGGTCGATTTTGCTGTATGTTTTAAAATACATACATTAGTATATGCCAGCAATCGATTAAACATGGCCTACACTCAGCAAAATGATACAGGGAGCTAAAACAAAAATGTTAAGAAAAATGCATGTTACTGGTTGTATTAAGAAAAAAGTTCTTTGGAGCCCTACTGAAAAAAACTCCCCCTTCCTCCCCAAAATAATGTTGAAGTCAGACTGAATCATTTTTGCACCCAATTGAACAACACAGATCAGGGTGGGGTTAGGGAGGAGGCACCTGTGCAGTGGGTATCCTGTGGGTAAGAAAGTGCCAAATAACACTTTTTGTCCAAGATTGTAGCTGCTTTGAGGAGAGGTTTAGATCTTTCCCAGTGCAATTCATGTGTGTATTAGAAAGTGCAAGTTTTGCCAGCCTTAGAAATTTTTTTAAAATGTGAACAGAAAAAATAAAGGAAAGCAAAATGCTTAAGTTGAGTCTTAAACACTTTGTTCTTGATCATTAGATTGGTGGTATTGATGTCACAACCTCAAGGAATTTCTTTGGACGCCAGGTGAACAGCTTTGAAACAGAAGTCAAACTTCACAATAATCTTCTTTCAAATTGTAGTACAAGTAATGATGGACTCAGTGTGAGTGAGAATGGTACAAGCTATCATGGAGTGTTCATCCGAGCTCCAGCAGTTGTGTCTGTTGACAGCCCTAAGGTAGAAGTTCTTGCGACTATTGACTTACCACATAGAAAGGAACCTGTTGTTGTCGGGGTAGCTCAGGAAAACCTGATGGCTACTGCATTTCATCCTGAATTAACAGAGGATACAAGGTGGCATGCATTTTTCTTAAAGAAAATTTTGGAAAAGATGAACGTGGCAAAACAATAAAAGCCAAGACATGCCAGCACGGCAATCATGTGGCAAACACACGACAAAAATAATGATGAAAAATAATAATGAATACATTGCATGTGATTAGACTTGTCAAGGTTTTTGGCTATATGATATACAATGTCTTTCAAAATGGGTAAACCATAAGTTTCAGCATTATTATTATTTAACTAAAATTTTTGTATATAAAGTATGCTATGTTGAATTTATTTAATTTGGGGATATCAAGCAACAAGGTAATGACACGATGATGTTCACTAATGTTGTCCTGGTAGAATTAATTGATGCGTAGTCAGGTTGAAACTTGTAAGAACTATGATAAATGTTTAGTCCTGCATTTAAACACCTGTAATCAGGATTTGCAAGAAAATTTTATGAAATATTTTAGACCCTTTTACCCAATAATATTATTGACTCCAATGCTGCTTTATTGCCTAGAACGTTTTCACTGATGTACCAAATTTAGTTATTTTCTTAATTTATTTTGAACGTACGTGTATTTCTAAAATACTATAGCTGAAAATGTTTAGAATACTACATGTACCTGTGCCCACACTTTTTGTTAAATAAAATTAATCACCAGTAGTAAAGTGATGAAACTGTTTTATTTTTTTTGCCATTGAGATGACCATATGTGTTTTCTTTTATGGTATTTATTGTGAATTGGTATTTATTCAATAACACCCATACTTTTTACTTTAGTGTTATTTATCATTGTAAAAAATGCGGGTCTTACAATGACAAAGACCTTTCTCAATTCACCCACCAGTGAGGTACCCTTGGAAGGGCATCAGCCTTTTGTCAGTCTTTCCGCAATGCTAGTTTCTAAATTCTCACTTAAGTGCATGTGAGAGAGGTTTTTGACATGAAGTGTATCTTCATTAGCACAGCTTTCAAATTTTTCTGAATAAAGTTTAACAAGGTAAAATTATTGCAAGTTATACGGCCTTGAAACAGGGACATAAGACGACTGAAATGGTGACAGATGCCACACAGGTGGATTAAAACTGCAACAGCATCGAAGACAAGTGCAAAATACCAGCAGGGAGATGGCTTATTCATCAGTATACAAAAGATAGGGTTTTGAAACTCAGATTAGGGACATACATCCCTCCTCTTATCAAGGTGTACCTCAATAAGGGATAGTTTGGCACCCTCCCCTCCCTTACTGTGTGTGAGTTTAGAAAGGTCTTTTAAAAGAGCTCCAACTTTCTTCTCAATTAAAGGAACAGCAAAAGATTTCATTTAGTAATTGTTTGACAACTACACAATTTATTTCTCGTTTTAAAAGTCTTCTGTTCTACTTTAGAGAGTATATTATAAACATTGACATTTATACATTTTCATACTCAGGTTCTGGTCTTTATAACCTTCCTACATGTACCTAAACCTTTTTGTTGATATCTAGTTTGGGTGTACATATCTAGAGCTGATTAGACTGTGAACTGTCTCTTTATGTCCTATGAAGTTCATGAGGTGGTATATGTAACATGAGAGACAAGAAGCAAAAATCCTTCTGCGCAACACTTGTGGTACACGGTGCTGCTTGCATTCAAGAGAGAATAATATGGATGAGAGAGAATCTTAGGGTGTCGGCCGGGATAGGCGAGTTTCACTTAAGTTATTTTTAGAGCTTGTACCCAAATGGAAGTCTAATTTCTGGGATGCCCTAACATTTTAATGGATTGTTAAAACAGTCAAGTCCATTCGCCACTGCCTCAAAGCAAACGGTGCAGAATATTGTTATGGCGACTGTTGATTTCTATCTTCACAACACTAAATAGAAGTTTGTGGACCTCTCCGGAAAGCAAAATCCAATTAATTTGAAGCAATCTAAGATAAATTTGGAGAAAGTCACATATATTCCAACGGCTAGACTGGGGCTTTTCCTCTCTGTGCCGTTATTTTTTCTTGTTGCATTCTAAAAATTAATTTGAAAACCGAAAAATTTCAAACTCCCGGCAAGGAGCGAGGAGAGCCGGCTAAAGAACAATTAAGGGTCGACTCTCCTCAATTCTTTATCAACTAACAGTCCCCAAAAACGGTCGAAAGTATGTATCGAATCCGTGTCCTTCCCATCCGGGTCAACAAGGTCCTTCCTTTCATTGGCCCATTTGAAAATGGCCCCTTCTAAGCTGTACACTTCCATGCTAGACTTGATATCCTGATTTTCAGGTTTTTCTAGCTCGTCTAACAGCCGCTGCGACATGATGCTTGCCCGCCAACCAACAGCACAGTAGCATACTACTGCCATAGGATCCTGTGAGGTCCCAGCTAAAAGAAGAACAAAAACCAGTGGGTATTTCATTTTAAAATGCCGTTCAACTTTTTTACCTCCATGTTTTAAAAAAATGTGCAATTGAGATTGATTGGTACTGAACCGGGGGGGGGGCGCGTTCTCAGCAAGGTTTTCAGTAAACGCATTGTTTTTAAAGTATCTCCGAATAGGGAGTACCCCGGGATGGGGGTACTGAATAGCTCAATTCCCCGACAATTAAAAAGGAGTGTAATCCAGTGTCACCTTGGACGCAAGGCATTTTGCAGTCTAACCTTCTTTCTGGATCATCTTCATGGCTTTAGTCAAATCTGTTTCCGCAGGGTCCAGCCGTATCGCGTTGGCTAACCGGCTTACTCTAAATTCTTTTTCCTCGCGCGTGTCCTGTTGAGGTAACAAAAGAGGCAGGTTGAAAAAAAAAATACAATTTAGAAAAAGAAAAAGGAATGAGAGAATTACTGCAGTCTACTCAGTTACTTTCCCGTGCCAAACACTTCTTCATTAAATGTTGTACATAAAAGTTAGAGTTTGTTTTCCTGTGGCCTTGTTAGTCCGGCTTTTCTTCTAGATTCGTTCTACATTTTTCCGCGACAAAATGGCTAGAGACCGGACAGTTATTTCCACCTGGCCATCCGAGCCACGTCAATGTCTGGCCGTTCGCAGGCCAGACCAATAGAAATAATCCGATCCCGCGGCCTCCAGCTCCACGCAGACAAGCACAAAGGATGAACCCTGCATACCACTAGCCTGTTCCAGGCGTTCAGACCGTGGGGACGGGTGTCAGTAAAACGCGGGGACGGGGTCGTGGAAGGGGCTAGGGTCGGGGTCTATCTTTCCTTAAAAGAATGCTGTTTTAAGGTTAGGGTTAGGGATAGGGTTGACACTAACCCCCAACCTAACCCTAACCCTAACGTGGAACGACGCGAAGAGATGTGAGCAGGAAAAACAGTGAGGGCGTGGGGTAGGCCACGAGCCTTAGCGGTGACATCGAAAAACCCAACTTAGTCCACTGACTTAAAAGATATCTTGTAATTATCAGCACTGCTACTCTCGAACAACCCGAATAGAAACTGCAAACCGTCGCGAAAAAAAATAGAATTTTACTGGAACGATTATTGAAGCAGCGACTATAATTTTGTAATTACAGCGTTGTCTCACAAGCATGGCGCCTGTGATATGGCGCACAACAAAAAGCTGTGTGTATTGTTGAACGAAGCAGGTTTTATACACCCAGTTAATTTTTAAAATAATCGCATTTAAACATAAAAGTCGCCGGGACAAATTACATCAGGATATTGGTGAAATCTTTCCCGCATTTCAGTGAGTATTATGCTCAACGGGTCGTCTTCGTCAAAACATCTTAGACATCCTCGGGAACCGACGTCCTCTTTTCAAATATCGTAAATGAGTATCAGTTTAAACTGGGCGTGGCCTAAAATAAGAGGTTCTTAGTGAAAAATACGGATCTTGGCGATTTCCAAATATGGATACACCTTGAAACGAACACGTACATCGTAATAACTAATCTACGTTACGATATACAATACCTAAAACTATTTGTTTCTAATGTTACTTTTTGATATTACATAAAATTAGATTTCGTTTTCCAAGGCTGTACTTAAAAGTCTATGAGTGTGAAAGTAAAATCAGGTATTAAAAAAGAAATGATATTGTTGTTGTTGTTGTTGTTGTTGCTGCTGTTGCGGAACATTTATATTCGGTAACGCATTTTCGTTCCTTTTCCGGTCCAGTTAAAGGGCGTTAACCAAATTTTGTTTTCTTCTTAAATTGACAAAGCAGAAAAAAACAACAACAAAAAAGACTATATAAACTGTACCACAACAACTGAATAGCTACATCTGTAAAGGAGGCAACCGATAAACGAAATGGCGGAGAGTTTGAGCGTCGCGGCTACCGTGAATCAATCCATTTGCTCAAAGCAAACTAGTGAAGAAATGTACGTGAGCACTCGAACGCGACGGGAAAAATATGTTAGCAGAAACGAGGAATTGATACGCCCAGAAGACATCCATGTTGAGATTAAGAACAATGAAACGCACGGCAACATGCAAAAAGCCGATGAACAAGAAGACATCGATCTCGGCAACACTGATAGTGCTTATCAGTGTGAGGATATTCCTGAGAGAATACAACAGAGCTCAAGTAATAACACTGCGGATCATGACGATCAAAAGGCACGAAGGATTGGAATGGTTGAGGCCACTGAAAAAGAGCTCACTCAAAAACGAAGGCAACAGACCAGGGTTCTTCTCAAGAAATTCGGTGAAGGTATGGAAACGGCCGTGGATATGCCCCGGATTTTCAGCAAGAAACTGTAAAATTCAAAAGCCATTTTAAAATGATTCCAACATTTCCTTCATGGTTGAGAACTACTGATGAAAATAGTACGGTTCATTACGAATATGATTATGATTATGGTTGTGAAGACAGATTTTTAATTTTAATCAGTTAATTGCCAATAGTACAGCCGGCTAATCGTGGTAATGGGTGTCCAAAATGAGGTAGCTGATGATGACAAATAACTTTTAAAAGTTATGGCTAGCGAACTTAAGGAGTCGCACGCGAGTAAATGATTCAGCGACAATCGTGTTTAGTCCACGTAAATTCCTTCAATTGGTTCGAAAGTGTGCCTTAAAACTCAGTAGTGCTTTATACCCGTCGACATTTTCAAAACTTTTTTCCCTGGATAGGCTGACAACAAAAAGGTTCAGAAGATGTTACGAGTTTTATATTCCGCAAGCGTCGCCATTCCAAAAACTTGATTTTGACCAGATTTTTCTAACCAAAACGACATTTAAGTCTCTTCCCGGTTTCGTGTTTGATTTTTTTTTTATCACGAGACGACATATTATCACTGATTTTCATGACACCATTATATTTTGTGATCTGTCGCTTTCATGCATTCTTGAGTTGATCCGCCGGGAAGCTTCCGTTTGCGACTATCCCGTCTTGGTGTCTTAAACAAGCCAGTGCCGTGATATAATGTTAATATTCAAAAGGTACATCAGGGTTATAGCTCAGATAAGTCGCATACAGGTTGTTTACTCAGACGAACAGTTTTTTTATTATTATTTCCAATGTTCCAATTCCATACCTCCAAATAATAGCTAAATGATTTTTTCATGGGTTGTGTAAAGAGCTCCTCAGTTACGTGGGTTTTGTAAAGTTAAGAATTTGCATCAAGTGATCTTTCTAGCTCTCACAGTGAGTACATAATGATTTATCTATTTATTCATTTATTTATTTGTTTGTTTGTTTATTTATTTATTACTTTTGTAAATAAATGAATTTTTTGGTACATCAATGTTCTTTAAGACGAAGGCCATTAAGACCGTTGGACAACCATGCGACTGTTGTTAAGGGAGAGTTCACTTCATAGTTAAACGTTCTAATTAACTGCGCTCAAATCAACATAATCATAGCGCAAATTTTCTCTTCGAATACTACTATAAAACATGACAAACAACTTAAGATAATGGTTGGTTATAGTTGACTAAAGTATAGTTATGTTTTGTCTGTTTACTAGTTCAAATGCACAATAACCTCCCAGTTTAAACACAAGGAAGCTGTCCAAATCGTAAGAAGAGTCATTCAGCTTTTAAGGGATGAGGATAATGGATGGCTCCATTAACCACGTTCGCTGTTCGACGGACACTTGGTTAGGCCTTTCCCGATTGCGCTCGTAAAATCCTAAAAAAGTGCTGGCAAAAATGGCTAAAAAGTGCTCAAAATCTCAAAATAGTGCTCAAAAAGTGCTAAAAGTTGTGAACAGTAACCTCTAAGCTTTTCGTAAATATGTCAATTTTTACTGAAGTAATTAACAATCTATTTTGCGTAGTGTTATTCGACAGGTTGTTACGAAGGTTGATAGAATATAGAACAATAATATTTTTAAAAAACTAAAGCCGGTTACACATTGTAAATAAATTCAGCAGTACTAGTGCAAAGCCTAGACATCAGATGATTTAAAAATTTGAGATGACACACGCATGATACATCAGCCAATCAGAAACTTCTGTTCTCACGCTCAGTAAGGATAAGTCCACGTGCCTTTCCATGAAAACGGTCTTTTATTCTTGACAACATCATTAGTTATTCAAATTTATGACCTGGAACACGATTCTCGTTGCGAGCGACACACAGTTTTTGCTTTAAAATGTTTTAGAAGACATATGTTGCTCGAAATTTGCTCGAAATGTGAAATATTGCTCAAATGTTGCCCAAAGTGCGAAAAAGTGCTTAAGGGTGCTCAAAATGCAAAATAGTGCTCCAAACTCAAAAAAGTGCTGAAAAGGTGCTCAGCGCAATCGGGAAAGGCCTACACTTGGTGGAAATAATATAAGTACCTTGAAATAACAGGTGGCTCTAGAGATAGATTATTTTTATTGCAAAACCAAATGTGGCAATACGTTTCTCGTCAGGCGGCTTTCTTACACAAGGTGCGATTTCTAAGGAAGGCCTTATAGGACCTAGGAATAGACTATTTTACATGTACAGTTGTGACGGTCTTAGTACCCTAGCCTTCGATTGAATGCGAGGCTGAGTTTGACCATGTTTTGATAAAAACTTCCTTTGTTTTCTTATAAAAACTATGGTTAACAAATCCTAGTTAGCGCAAGAACAACAAGATTTACATAAGAAAGCGGAAAGGGTTGTATCAAAACAAGGTTAACTGCTGCCATAACCGTAACCATGGTAACATGGTTTATTGCTCCGCAATACAATAGAAGAGATTGAAGCTTTAATCTCAATACGATAGCCATTCGACGCACAATGTTGTTTAGTTTTAACTGTACGTGAACTCCTGGCGCAAGTGAAGACCATATAAAACATTTTAATCCTACAGCCAAGATCCTTCATCTTTCTTTTTATTTTCCACGGAGGTCTGTACAACAGCAAATCATCTTTCGCGTCAAAAAAAGTCTAAGCCAATCCAGGAGGCCAATCAGAGCAGAGTAGGATTTCCATCAAACACCTTTGTGGTGAGAAACTAGCAAATTTTCGCGAGAAAAGAAATCTAACATGGAGTTTTATTTTAAGTCTGAACGAACGCTATGTGAGACTTCAATGTTGGTAGCAAGTGGAACTCCGAGGTGACTGCAGGTGATGACGAGCTACTTTGGCCGTAATTTCTCTTTGTGTCGTTTGTTTTTCAGCATTTTAACAAAAGATGGTTCAGTTTTTTCTGGGTGGAAATTGTTTTAACTCCCCCAAAATAAATTGAGGCACCCGAGAGGCAGGTGCACAGAGTCCCTCGGGTCGTTCAAACGCGCCGTCACTGAGTAAAGCTCTTTTTCACTTTTTTCCTGTAGTCACATTTACAGTTTATAACTAATATACACATATATCAGTAGTACCAAAGGTTGACAAATAAACAACAAAGTTAACGAAAAGTTAGCGTTTTCCCATGCTTTGATTTATGAAACTTTCCCCTGAAAATCATGGGAAATAGCATTTCCGAGGCCCTAAAAATAATCAAAAATTTTTCTTGGGGAGTATGCCCCCAGACCCCCCAGAGGCTTGCCTCTTCGGTGCTTGTTTTACTACGCCTTCCAGCGCGTACCTGACCGGAAAAACCACGTTACGCCCCTGATATTAAAAAAGATGCTTTCCGTGAAGGAAAGGAATTCGGAAACTACTTTGTCAATATCCCGATTCTTGTGTTTGTGTATGTGGAACATTGCCAAAATGGCTCACTCGTAGTGCTTCAAAGAGGGGTTTTTAGTCCCTTCATGCCTTTAAAACTGCCTTCGGTAGCGCAGGTTGACACAGGATAGGTTAGCAAAGTGACAAAAGCGACTTGTATCCCTGGATAGAACTGGCGGCTTGCGTCGTCAAGGGACCCGTCGACCAGAGTTGTGGAGCGCGATCCATTCAATCAAAATTTCCGAAAATTTCGGTCCAAAACTCAATGGATCGGTTCGGTCCAACCGGAAAAGTTTCGAAAAAACTGGTCCACCTTTTGAGGTGGACCACTTTTCCCGGTCGGACCGGTCGGAAATTTTGGTTGAATGGATCGCACTCAGTTACTTTCCCGTGCCAAACACTTCTTCATTAAATGTTGTACATAAAAGTTAGAGTTTGTTTTCCTGTGGCCTTGTTAGTCCGGCTTTTCTTCTAGATTCGTTCTACATTTTTCCGCGACAAAATGGTTTGAGATCGGACAGTTATTTCCACCTGGCCATCCGAGCAACGTCAATGTCTGGCCGTTCGCAGGCCAGACCAATGGAAGTAATCCGATCCCGCGGCCTCCAGCTCACGCAGACAAGCGCAAAGGATGAACCCTGCATACCACTAGCCTGTTCCAGGCGTTCAGACCGTGGGGACGGGTGTCAGTAAAACGAGGGGACGGGGTCGGGGCTGGGGCTGGGGCTGGGGCTGGGGTCGGGGTCTATCTTTTTTTAAAAGAATGCTGTTTTAAGGTTAGGATTAGGAATAGGGTTGACACTTATCGTTCCAGTAAAATTCTTTTTTTTTTTCACGACGGTTTGCAGTTACTATTCGGGTTGTTCGAGAGTAGCAGCGCTGATAATTACGTGATATCTTTTAAGTCAGTGGAGTAAGTTGGGTTTTTCGATGTCGCCGCTAAGGCTCGTGGCCTACCCCATTCCCTCACTGTTTTTCCTACTCACATCTCTTCGCGTCGTCCCACGTGGTGTCAGTAAAACGCGAGATCGGGGTCGGGGCCGGGGCCGGGGTCGGGGCCAGGGTCTATCTTTTATTTAAAGAATGCTGTTTTAAGGTTAGGGTTAAGGTTGGGGTTATTGAAGCAGCGACTATAATTTTGTAATTACAGCGTTGTTTCACAAGAATGGCGCCTGTGATATGGCGCACAATAAAAAGCTGTGAGTATTGTTGAACGAAGCAGGTTTTATACACCCAGTTAATTTTTAAAATAATCGCATTTAAACATAAAAGTCGCCGGGACAAATTACATCAGGATATTGGTAAAATCTTTCCCGCATTTCAGTGAGTATTATGCTCAACAGCTCGTCTCCTTCAAAACATCTTAGACATCCTCAGGAACCGACGTTCTCTTTTTAAATATCGTAAATGAGTATCAGTTTAATCTGGGCGTGGCCTAAAATAAGAGGTTCTTAGTGAAAAATACGGATCTTGGCGATTGCCAAATATGGACACGCCTTGAAGCGAACACGTACATCGTAATAACTAATCTACGTTACGATATACAATACCTAAAACTATTTGTTTTTAATGTTACTTTTTGATATCACACAAAATTAGATTTCGTTTTCCAGGGCTGTACTTAAAAGCCTATCAGCGTGAAAGTAAAATCTGGAATTAAAAAAGAAATGATGTTGTTGTTGTTGTTGTTGTTGTTATTGCTGCTGTCGCGGAACGTTTATATTCGGTAATGCATTTTGGTTCCTTTTCCGGTCCAGTTAAAGGGCGTTAACCAAATTTTGTTTTCTTCTTAAATTAACAAAGCAGAAAAAACAACAACAAAAACGCCTATATAAACTGTACCACAACAACTGGATAGCTATTTCTGTAAAGGAGGCAACCGGATAAACGAAATGGCGGAGAGTTTGAGCGTCGCGGCTACTGTGAATCAATCCATTTGCTCAAAGCAAACTAGTGAAGAAATGTACGTGAGCACTCGAACGCGACGGGAAAAATATATTAGCAGAAACGAGGAACTGATACGCCCAGAAGACATCCATGTTGAGATTAAGAACAGTGAAACGCACGGCAACATGCAAAAAGCCGATGAACAAGAAGACATCGATCTCGGCAACACTGATAGTGCTTATCAGTGTGAGGATATTCCTGAGAGAATACAACAGAACTCAAGTAACACAGCGCATCATGACGACCAAAAGGTACGAAGGATTGGAATGGTTGAGGCCACTGAAGAACAGCTCACTCAGAAACGAAGGCAACAGACCAGAGTTCTTCTCAAGAAATTCGGTGAAGATATGGAAACGGCCGTGGATATGCCCCGGATTTTCACCAAGAAACTGTAAGATTCTAAAGCCGTTTTAAAATGATTCCAACATTTCCTTCATGGTTGAAAACTACTGATGAAAATAGCACGGTTCATTACGAATATGATTATGATTATGGTTGTGAAGACAGATTTTTAATTTTAATCAGTTAATTGCCAATAGTACAGCCGGCTAATCGTGGTAATGGGTGTTCAAAATTCGGTAGCTGATGGTGACAAATAACTTTTAAAAGTTATGGCTAGCGAACTTAAGGAGTCGCATGCGAGTAAATGATTCAGCGACAATCGTGTTTAGTCCAAGTAAATTCCTTTAATTGGTTCGAAAGTGTGCCTTAAAACTTAGTAGTGCTTTATACCCGTCGACATTTTCAAAACTTTTTTCCCTGGATAGGCTGACAACAACAAGGTTCAGAAGATGTTACGAGTTTTATATTCCGCAAGCGTCGCCATTCCAAAAACTTGATTTTGACCAAATTTTTCTAACAAAACGACTTTTAAGTCTCTTCCCGGTTTCGTGTTTGATTTTTTTTTTATCACGAGACGACATATTATCACTGATTTTTATGACACCATTATATTTTGTGATCTGTCGCTTTCATGCATTCTTGAGTTGATCCGCCGGGAAGCTTCCGTTTGCGACTATCCCGTCTTGGTGTCTTAAACAAGCCAGTGCCGTGATATAATGTTAACATTCAAAAGGTACATCAGGGTTATAGCTCAGATAAGTCGCATACAGGTTGTTTACTCAGACGAACAGTTTTTTTATTATTATTTCCAATGTTCCAATTCCATACCTCCAAATAATAGCTAAATGATTTTTTCATGGGTGGTGTAAAGAGCTCCTCAGTTACGTGGGTTTTGTAAAGTTAAGAATTTGCATCAAGTGATCTTTCTAGCTCTCACAGTGGGTACATAATGATTTATCTATTTATTCATTTATTTATTTGTTTGTTTGTTTATTTATTTATTACTTTTGTAAATAAATGAATTTTTTGGTACATCAATGCTGTCACAATTTTCTTTAAGACGAAGGCCATTAAGACCGTTGGACAACCATGCGACTGTTGTTAAGGGAGAGTTCACTTCATAGTTAAACGTTCTAATTCACTGCGCTCAAATCAACATAATCATAGCGCAAATTTTCTCTTCGAATACTACTATAAAACATGACAAACAACTTAAGTAAAGTATAGTTATGTTTTGTCTGTTTACTAGTTCAAATGCACAATAACCTCCTAGTTTAAACACAAGGAAGCTGTCCAAATCGTAAGAAGAGTCATTCAGCTTTTAAGGGATGAGGATAATGGATGGCTCCATTAACCACGTCCGCTGTTCGACGGACACTTGGTGGAAATAATATAAGTACCTTGAAATAACAGAGATATCGTCGATATTTTAGGTGGCTCTAGAGATAGATTATTTTTATTGCAAAACCAAATGTGGCAATACGTTTCTCGTCAGGCGGCTTTCTCACACAAGGTGCGATTTCTAAGGAAGGCCTTATCGGACCTAGGTATAGCCGGACTATTTTACAGTTGTTGTCTTAGTACTGACCCTAGTCCTCGACCAGGAATGCGAGGCTGAGTTTGACGAAGTTTTGATAAAAACTTCCTTTGTTTTCTTACGAAAACTATGCTTTAAAAATACTAGTTAGCGCAAGAACAACAGGATTTACATAAGAAAGCGGAAAGGGTATCAAAACAGGGTCAACTGCTGCCATGTAATCATGGTAACATGGTTTATTGCTCCCAATACAATAGAAGAGATTGAAGCTTTAATCTCAATACGATAGCCATTCGACGCACAATGTTGTTTAGTTTTAACTGTACGTGAACTCCTGGCGAGTGAAGACCATATAAAACATTTTAATCCTACAGCCAAGGTCCTCCATCTTTCTTTTTATCATCCACGGAGGTCTGTGCAACAGCAAATCATCCTTCGCGCCAAAAAAAACTCTAAGCCAATCAGAGAAGAGTAGGATTTCCAGCAAACACCTTTGTGGTGAGAAACTTGCAAATTTTCGCGAGAAAAGAAATCTGACATGGAGTTTTATTTTAAAAAGTCTGAACGAACGCGCTATGTGAGACTTAAATATTGGTAGCAAGTGGAACTCCAGGGCAGGTGATGACGAGCTCCTTTGGCCGTAATTTCTCTTTGTGTCGTTTGTTTTTCAGCATTTTAGCAAAAGATGGTTCAGTTTTTTCTGGGTGGAAATTGTTTTAACTCCTCCAAAATAAACTGAGGCATCCGAGAGTCAGGTGCACAGAGTCCCTCGGGTCGTTCAAACGCGCCATCACTGAGTAAAGCTCTTTTTCACTTTTTTCCTGTAGTCACATTTACAGTTTATAACTAATATACACATATATCAGTAGTACCAAAGGTTGAAAAATAAACAACAAAGTTAATGAAAAGTTAGCGTTTTCCCATGCTTTGTTTTATGAAACTTTCCCCTGAAAATCATGGGAAATAGCATTTCCGAGGCCCTAAAAATAATGAAAAGTTTTTCTTGGGGAGTATGCTCTCAGACACCCCAGAGGCTTGCGCCTTCGGTGCTTGTTTCACTGCGCCTTCAAGCGCGTACCTAACCGGAAAAACCACGTTACTCCCCTGATATTAAAAAAAGATGCTTTCCGTGAAGGAAAGGAACTCGGAAACTACTTTGTCAATATCCCGATTCTTGTGCTTGTGTATGTGGAGCATTGCCAAAATGGCTCACTCATAGTGCTTCAAAGAGGGTTTTTTTTAGTCCCTTCATGCCGTTAAAACTGCCTTCGGTAGCGCAGGTTGACACAGGATAGGTTAGCAAAGTGACAAAAGCGACATATATCCCTGGACAGAACTGGCGGCTGGCGTCATCAAGGGTCCCGTCGACCAGAGTTGTGGGGCGCGATCCATTCAACAAAATTTCCTGAAATTTCGGTCCAAAACTCAATGGATCGGTTCGGTCCAACCGCAAAAGTTTCGAAAAAAATGGTCCACCTTTTGAGGTGGACCACTTTTCCCGGTCGGACCGGTCGGAAATTTTGGTTGAATGGATCGCGCCCGTGGTTTCACTTTTTTCTTTATTTATTTCATAACTTTTTTTCTTAAAGCAAAAATATGTAAACAACGAAAACTCACGTCCTCTTCTGGTAAGTCGAGAATTCTAGAAGGATAAAAAACCTTTTTACAATTATTTGATTAAGTTTTCAAACAGGAACTTTACTTTCGGTTGGTTCCGCTTCATTGACCTTGTTAATAAAACTCCGGCTAAAAAAGTCGCACCCAAAACTTGGGTATAACCTTACTAATTTATCACGTTAAAAGTGTTTCAAAAGAAAAGCATTTTATCGTCGTTATGTTTTCTTTTCCCACGTACACATTTCCAGAGAAAAGCAGTTTTTTTAGATATTTAAATAAAGAAATAAATAATTAAATAGACCTTGTCACGGTTTTCGACGTCATCTTGGCGAGTATAAGAATCTACTGTCGAATAATTTCCGTAAAACGGCTGTTCTGAAAAAATATAACTGTAAACTAAAGTTTACAAAGGATTGGACCAAAAAATTTTGGGGGCGTACCTGTTCTTAAATTTCTCCAGAGGCTTGCTTCAGATTTTCCACATATTTGTCTGTAATTTTTCCGGGACTTTCTTACAGACAAATGTATTGAAAATTTAAAAAAGTGGTTCTAGCAGCTCTAGATCTTCTAGCGCATGTAAGGCCCTCAATTTTTTTCAGTAGAATCCTTAGGAGTGAAGCTTTAGTTTACAATCGATATTTTTTTCAGAACAGCCGTTCTAGAGAAATTATTCGACATTAGATTCTCATAGAAACACTGTAACTTCTCACGCGCTTGCCAACTCGTCAAGATGGCGTCGAAAACCGTGACAAGGTCTATAAAAAATCTGTATTTTTAAATTTTTGAGGTACGCACGTGCGTATGTGAGTATATGGTCGCTACGCCCCTGAATATAGTGTAGTTCAATGCTTAGTTTAATATAATCAGAGTTGTGTAGTTACAGTTTGATAACTTTTGGTAAATAGCTGATGAATTGCTCGTGGTTAAATAAAGTTTACCTGTCTTCTATCTAAACGCAGTTTGCGTGAGTTTAATGTAATGCATAATGCAAATTTAAAAGGACAGTGCAGCTACGTTTTAATTACGTAATGAATAGAATCGTGTCCTTCGCGAAAAAAATACGGTCAAATCCAAGAGAAAAATTACTCAGTTATCACCTCCTATTCTTGGTAAACAATAATTTTGTGACTATAAAGCAGCGATGATATTTTTCCATCGAGTTTATAATCCCGGATATTGTCTGATATTCGTGAGTTGAGCAGACAAGGTCGTGACATGCATGTGACGTGGGTGGCTTTCGTGCCCCATTTTTGTTTATAGTGTGGCTTATTTGAAACCGTTCAACGTTGCTGCTTACATCAAAACTGAACGAATTTTTGAAAAAGATAAAACAGAAACAACAAAAACAGCAGCAACAACAGCCCTATATCAAAGTGCTGTTAGGCTTCTCTCGCTGTGTTCCGAAAGTGTATTTTTGTTTCAACAAACACTGAGTGTCAACACTCCTGTAACCCTGTCTAATTAGGCTTGTATATATGCACTATGCCACTAACTATGCTTTGATGGCTTAGCTTGCTGCAGACAGTGTTTATTGTCACAAAATTTGTAATTACGACGTTGGTTGTTGTTGGTTGTTGTTTAGTGCAAAATCTTCTAAACCTAGGGCGAGTTTTGAATTTTTCCGGTACATCTTTAGTTCTCGATTGAAAGCTGTAAGTTAGCACCAACCGCAAGGGCAACGCAAGCCGATAACAAGGGATAGAGTCTCCTGAACTCTTTGGAAACTGCGCACCGCGGTGTGCGGTATACACAGTATACAAACAGCTGAAAAAACTAATGACGTAGAACATCTCTTGCTTACCAACAGGACGAGCTTTCTGTAACCTGACTGTGATGCGGTCTTCTTCATTAAATGCTGTAGCTCGTCTGTGGTCATCACCGGCACTCTTGGGTATGCTCTCTTCAAAGCGCCAATTATCATTCTCAGAGCCATGGTTAAACCCAAACTACAACTCCGTCGCAAAAATACTGCGGTTAACAATGACAACAGTCAACTCGGTTCTCGAAGTCCTAGGAGCACGAAATAATTATGCAAGTTGTATTGTTTCAGCTTTTCTCCGATAATTTATGGTGACGCAATTACTGACAAAATGGATGTTTCCACTGCATTCGTACTAAAAGAGGATGTTAGCATCAACAACGAGTACGAGTACGAGAACGACTTCAAGCCGTACTCGTACTCGAAGTCGTTTTCTCAGCTTTCTATGTTAGCGATGACACCGAGTTCGAGTTTATCGAAAACAAAATTATGGGATTCCGCATGACTGGGCGCCAAATTTGAGTCGAGGTAGCGCTTCCACAACAATTTCGAAAACAAAAAAATGACTCTAAAAAACGTTCAAGACTGCATGTTAATCGATTTTTCGAGGGAACATGAAGGATGGTTAGTCGCGGTCTTAAAACACGCTAAAACCCATCAAATTCAACACAAGAACCACACTGGATAAAGAAGTAAGTATTCTTTATTGATGTCTTCGACTGTTGGGATATTTCCGACCAAATAATGGCAATTTTCGAGGTTATTTCGTAAGCCTGTGAGGCCTGTGGAGAGACATGAAACTTTCCCGTGTAAATGCAAATTTACGCTGTGTAGGAAATATCGTGTTCGGTTGCTTTTTCTCGACTTCAAAAGCAGTATTTTACATAAAACATAATATAAGGAATGTTCAAGATGATAAAGAGAGGCTAGAAACGAAAAGAAACTGCATTAAACGATCGGAATTTACCTTTGAAAACCAGCTCTTCCCAGTCGTTCTACCCACTTCGAGTTTTTGGTGAGAACTCGTCGTAGTGCAACTTGACAGGACGACTTGAAAACGTGGAGATGC